CAGGCCAGAGAGAGGATGGCAGAGTACTCACAGCCAAAGTGATTTATGATGTTAGGTCCACAGTAGGAAAGTTCCAAAAGAGAATATGTGAGAGTCATGGAACAGACTCCACCCCATATGTAAGTCCCAGCTACCAGCAGAGAACAAAGCTTGTGAGACATGGCAACTGTGTAGAGCAGGGGGTTACACACAGCCACAAACCGGTTGTAGGCCATCACTGCTAACATGAACATCTCTGTGATCACAAATGCACAAACAAAGAAAAATTGTACCATGTATCCTTTGAAGGAAATAGTTCTGTCTTCCACTACCAAGGTCTCCAACAGTTTGGGTGTAAATACACTGGAATAACAAATATCCAAAAAGGATAGATGGCTGAGGAAGAAGTACATGGGTGTGTGAAGTTTGGGATTAATTCTTATGACTACAATTATGCCCACGTTCCCCACCAGAGTGACTGTGTAAATGGCCAAGAACACCAGGAAGAGGGATGCCTGGAGGTGTGGATATTCTGAGAAGCCCAACAGGATGAACGTGGTTACAGAGCTCTGGTTTCCTTCATCCAGTACCATGGCACTTGATTTAAAGAAAGAAAAGAAATATAAAAACAAAGAAAATTGAGCAGCAGCACTTGAGAAAGTGGGATGTCAGGTACTCAGGAGTGGCTCAGTGTAGACCAGTGAGGACAAATGTGATTAGTCTGTATTCATAGTGTTCTGCTTCACTTTGGAGTCTCATTTGACAACTTGGTGTCTTTTTGACTGTGGACAATGAGCTTTAGCCTTTGGTACTTTAGTTTCCTTATCTAAAAAATAAAAAAGATAGTTTTATTTATATATTTATTATCTTTTAATGTATGTGATACTTGGAGCATGATTGCTCTATGATAAAAAATAATTATATGAGAACAAAGGAGACAAAGAACAAATTGAGAAAAGCATTGATCAGATCATGGTACCCAATTAATAATGGAATGGTCATTGATAATATCAAGCACTTTGAATATTTATTAAAAAAACATAATAGCAAATTCCTTTGGAGAAAGATGTATCTTGTCAGACATTCACAGTTCTGTATTTATATACATAATTTTTGCCTGTTCTAGGTTTATCTCATTATGAAGGACTCATCAAACATACAATTAAGAGGATCTTTAAATGTTCTGATCAAAAATTCCAATGGTAGCTATGTTCTTTCAATTATATAGCCACCATATGGTCATTTAGGAGGTTCAAAATGCTCAGTGACATAAAACTATCTACTGATGAAATGTTTTGAAGATATTCTTATAAATTTCACATTGATTTTCTTCTGCTAGTTACACAATCTGATTGTAGTGCATGTTGTACAAAACAAATAAACAACTTATTTGTCAGCAATTATAAAACACAAGAAATATAGTCCAAAAAAGTAATAACCCATACAAAAACAATCATTAGATGACAAACTTAGCTGTGCTGGCCAAGGAAGAATAAAAGATTATGTAAAACTGAAAAATATGAATTGTTTGTTAAATGAATAAGAGTCTTAATATTAAGAATTTCACATTATTAAACCTAAAAAAAAGACCGATTCTACAAGGGAATTTGAATACCCAATAAATATGATGTTGCCATGTTGAACACATTTGTGCGCTGGTATCACTTTTAACCTTGTCTATAACAAGCAACAGCCCACGGTCGAATTTACCAGCACTAATCCTCAGCACAGAGCATCGGCTATAAAAGGACGTGCTATTACTTAGGAGATCAGTAGACTTTTTGTTAACTTCATATATATTTAACTTCATATATTTGGTCACATGTGCTGATCAAAAGGCTTATCTTTAAATTCAGTACCTTGGATTACTTGAACTGGGTCACAAGTAGGCAGGTTAAGAATTTTGAGGTATAATCT